ACACGACTATTAGCCCCTGTTCTCACACATGCTACATATGTTTTGGGGGCAAGTGGAACTGATCTCGGAGAGAAAGCAGTGAGCGTTCCTGAAGAGAGATCTCAGTTCCCTGCCCGGGAATTTGACCTGGGTAGCCTGGATGAAAACCAGGAATTCTAGCCACTAGACCACCAGGGGCGAGAGGCTTGAAGCAAACTTCCCCTGGCTCTTACCCCCAGTGAAAGTAAGAATATTTCAAGAAGGCAAAAACTGTACAAACAGGTACAAAGTATATTAATAGAGACACAGCACAACTACGGGAGAGCCCACAGAGAAGCTGTTTATTTAAGTCAGAAGCTAGGCAGAAATACACACCCAGAGAGAAAGGGTATATGGGCGTCCTTCCTAATGAGAAGGTCAGTAAAGAGGTGATTTAAATCCCTTATACAGGACGGTTCTTCTAGGTATTTGTTTACCTTTGGCCAATTATCCTGTTTCTTTTTTCACAACTGACCTGCCCTAGGATGCTCCCCAACACGCGTGCGCAACTTTTTGCTAGGATGGATCCCACCGCAGAGGCCTTGTGGGTGCATGTCCACACTTATTATGGGGTGGCACTCCCTCCCTTTTTGACCCCCAAGGAGGCTTCCTGTGCGTGGGCAGACGGGCGGGTCTTCCTTGACCTCAGGTGTGGGTGCCTTATCTCTACTTCAGCAGAGCTCAGCTTCTGCCACTAGCTTTGTCCTTGGAGTGTCTGGGTGCGAACAAAGCTTCAATTTTACTCCACCGGACAAACACCAGCTGTTCAGCCCAGGGGCACATCTACCTACTATCTCAGAGCCAGTTAAATCAGTCACTGGACGGCAATACGCTAAGAATTCGCTAATTCCCAATGTTTAAAATATAGGCTTGGACCACATCAGTGTTTTCAAACTGGCACAAATTAAGAAGCATTGGGGACCCATATTAAAAACACAGATTCTAAGATCTTTTCCTGGGAGATTCTTATTCAGAAAACCTGGTGTGAGGTCCAAATCGCATGTGTTTGTAACAAGAGATTCTCAGTGGCTCTTATTATCAAGAAAGTGTCGGAAGATTTCAAAAAATCCTCCAAACCCTAAACTTCTACGAGAATTCCCTTCTGCAGTTGCTCTTTTTCATCTGCTGTGTTCTTCCTCTTTGACATTGTGCTTCCTCCGCTTCTGGGGTTTATATTAGAATCAACTTTGGAGGTTTTAAATGTATCCATGCTATTTCCCAACTCTAAGTAAAGATCACTGGCTGACAAAGAGTGTCTGTTCTTTGATATTATTGCTCTGCTGGCTATGTCCAATTTGCCCCTTTACATCCATTCTCCACCTGGTCTTTGGTGTTGAAGGTGAACACTACTCACCACATCAATGGGCTCCTTTGCCTCCTGACTTCAAGTTAGGTTTATCCAATGGGAGGCATCAACAGAAAAGTAGAGGATGGGAGAACAACATAGGGGTATTAATTAGCCTCACTCCCACCCCTCCTGATTACCCATGGGATCACGGTGGGCTGGCTGTATCTTACTACTGAAGACCACCTCCCTCTCGGGGTTGGGCGATGCACTTCCTTATGATTAGAGCTGACCTCTTAGGGTTCCTCCAGATCTAGCCCCAAAATTGTTGCTAGCCCCAAGTTACTCTATTACCTTTTGTAGATTCTCCTTAATCCTTCCCAAGCCTTTGTAAATAGTCCCTTTGTTAAAATTTCCCCAATTACTCTGTTTGAGTATGGCATCTCTGCTCCCGGGATTTTGATGGGGATAATAATTTACCTTTAACTCTTTCACATGTGCTATTTGTGTAATAAAGGTTTTCTTGTATCTTATTAAAAATAATAGAAAAGACAGAATTAGAATTTAGGAATAGAAAGAATGAAATTCTAGTGCTTGAATAAGCTTTATATTATGTCTATTCTACACTATGCTTCGTAACAGGAGCTAACATAGTGTAGTAGGTCAAACGTACTTCAAAATCAGACAAACAAGCAAACAAACTCATAGAAAAAGAGATCAGATTTGTGGTAACCAAGGGGGGTGGGGGGATGGGAGGAGAGGGAATTGGATGAAGGTCGTCAAAAGATACAAACCAGTTATAAGATAAATTAGTACTGGGGATGTAAGGTACAATATAATAAATATAATTAATGCTGCTGTATGTTATACATGAAAATTGCTAAGAGAGTAAATTCTAAGAGCGCTCATCACAAGAAGAACATTTTTTTTCTATTTAATTTTCTATCTATATGAGATGACAGCTGTTCACTAAACTTATTGTGATAATCATTTCATGATGTATGTAAGTTAAATCATTATGCTGTATACCTGAAATTTATACATTATTGTATGTCAATTATATCTCAATAAACTGGAAACAAATAAATAAATTACATCTATTCTAGCTTACTACTAAATACTAGAATCCTACATGAAATAGGTCTGCTCCATCCTGTTCATTGCAACTTTAAAAAGATTTATTGGCAATGAACATTTTCTCTTCCAGGCTAAATATTATGCATGCTTCAACAGTTCTTCACATAGCATGGTTTCTAGATCCTTCTCCATCCTGGCCATTGGCTACGTTCCTTTGGGTGAATTCTATTGTGTCAGCATCATTGCTTCACGCTTAGGAAACATTTGCAAAGTAAGCCAAATGTGGACAGAGCTCCCCAGCTGAAGAGCACAGGCATCCCTAAGTGGGAGGCACACCCTTCCACTGGCATGAGCAAGCGCAGACTGAATGTTCTGGCTGCCAAACGGAGCAGCTGCTCAGAAACAGGCACATGGGTGGAGGCATGAGCTCCTGCTGGGGGGAAACATCCTTACCACTACACTCCTTGCATATCATGGTTTCGCTTTTGAATTTATACCCTACTTTTTCTTTTATACTTTTTATTTTTCACTAAGTGTAATAGGGAAGAAGAAATCTGACTCCACACTGGATCTGCTTCTTTTGCTTTAACCTTTGTATTTTATTGCTTTTGCTACAAGTTAATCACTAAAGGGATGTTGCCTATAACTTAAAGTATGCATAATGGCCCGGCTCGAACCCTGGCTCCCATGCCTGAATGTTAAGCTAAAATGCCTTTGTTTAAGCTCAGAGGAAACATCCTGACTAGGCCACCTGTGAATGGCTACAGGAAAGAAGAAATTAACAATCCCCTCCAGAGTCTGGCCAGGACCAGAAAATATTTGCAACAATTTATCACCTTTTTTACTTTACCTCCTCACACCTCCCCCACTTTGTTCTAGAAAAGAAACTAGCATCCATATACGTGGAATCTAGAAAAATGGTACAGATGAACCTGTTTGCAAGGCAGAAATAGAGACACAGATGTAGAGAAAAAATATGGACACCAAGGGGGGAAAGCGGGAGGTGGGATGAATTGGGAGACTGGGATTGACATATATACACTAATATGTATAAAATAGATAACTAATAAGAACCTGCTGTATAGCACAGGGAACTCCACTTCAGTTCTCTGTACAGTAGAAACTAACACAACATTGTAAAACAACTATACCCCATTTTAAAAGAAAATTAAACTAGCATCCAAACCTGGACAAGATGGTTCTTTGGGACACTGGTCCACCATCTTCTAGGTCTGCTGGCTTTCTGAATAAAGTCGCTCTTCCTTGCCCCTTTTTTGGCCTGTCATGCAGTGAGCAATAAGAGCTTGGACTCGGTAACATGAGGAGGGAACAAAGTGGAATTCTAGTTGGGCCAAGGGTTAAAATGAAAAATAGGCATGCTTTAAATTTCCGTGATCTGGAAACCCAGTGTCCTCACCCCATTCCAATCCAGATGTGTCCCTTGGGCTTTTAGATTTCTGGCCAGAAGGTAACGATGTCATTTGTGTAAAACAGTGAGTGCAGAGCCTGCAGCCGAAGAAATGTTCCGAAGAAATGTTCTCCGGTGCTGAGCATCTCTCATTCCCGTGCTCAGACAAAGTCACAGAATTTATCGCTATCGTGAACCTTAGATTACTTAATTCAGGCAAACTGGAGGATCCCAAGAGTGAGATCTTTGCCCAAAATGATGGCGCCAGGATTAGAACCCATATCTCTTTCCCCTCTATCATCCTGCCTCTCTTTTCAGTTAACTTACTCCATTCTTTTGCCACAAATTACAAAACTGAAATGAAGACGTTAGTACTGCTAGTACCCAAAGCATCCAGGTCAGACAGAGGCAGCCCTTGAATTGCACAATTGCCTTGAAAGTATCGGGGAAATATAGCTATGTGCACATTACATCTGACACCACTCACTGGTTAAGCAAACCATTATTTTATTTTTCCGATTCCACTACTTATCCTTTGCATCTGAGTCTAAACTTTAAGGGATACAAATCTTTTCAATCCACTGAATCAAGGCACTCAGAAGGCTCAGAGTCTTGAGTTTAAAACTCCAGTTTGCCACCACCTCAGAACTGTACAATTTAAAGCTGCATCAGATCTCAGGGATAACCTAGTCCAGTAAAATTTAGACCCAGAGAGGCCGTGATTTACAAAGTTATAAAGCAGAATCAGAAACTGACTCTTAATCCTATGCTCTTTTGCATGCACTGTGCTTATTTCCTGTGTGACTGTGCCTTCTTTGTTTAATTGGGTCTCAGAACAGGGCATCAGATATTTGCATATAGCATTTAATACACCTTCGTCATGAGATTTGAGGTATCTCCTTTATTAAAGAAAAAGTTAGAGGAGTGACATAAATGATATCTTAAAAGGCTAATACTAATCATAATTAATGCTTAGCAAAAACAGATTTGAAAGACTTAAACTTTAGAGAAATACTGATGACTTCTAACCAGCTGATAGGAAAAAGTAGTAATGTTTGAAAGGCCCTATCAAAAGTTGATTTCACCCGCTATTCTGAACTAAACTCTACTGCATGAGAGAGTCTGACACTAAGAGAACTCTTAGTAGTAACTTAAGGGAAATGACTGTGTAAGCCAAAGAAACCACTTCCAACAGCTGTATGTCAAGTCTCTGGCAGATCAATAGGGCAGAAGTAACCAAAGTTACAGCAGATGCTGCTGAGAGTGGCAGAACCTCTGGTGCCTCAGATGATCCCAAACTGAGCGAGCTCGTTCAACTCCAAGTGGCTGAATGCCTCCCAAGGACAAATCACCGTGATATCTGCAAGGGAAAAAAGAAGAACTTATAAGCCAATCTCACCCCTAGGAGAGCTCAAAGGGCTCAAAAGGGCGTCCTTCAGGCAGAGACCCCTCACCCCTCCCTTCCATATGCTGTCCAGATGACCGGGAAGTTGTCTAGAATGGCCCTTCATCCCAGGAAGGATGAGACCAGTTGTTTAATCCTCTGCAGGGCTCTGATTCCGCCAGAACAGGCTCCCAAGGTAGTTGTGTTGGGTTTTATTCTGCATCCTTTTTGGGGAGATGATCCAAGGCTTTTGACTGGGGAGTGTAGCTCTCTGATCACACGGAGTCTCACAAAACCACTAAAGTGGGAACAGAGGTGGAATTCTAGTTAGGCCAAGGGTTAAAGTGAGAAATAGGGGTGCTTTAAATTCCCATGGTCTGGAAATCCAGTCTCCTTACTCCTTACCAATCCAGACGTATTTCTTGGGCTTCTCTGACTGCTCTTAAGCTCCTTTACATTCTGAAATGCCTATATCCCACCACATACTGAGAAGTGATCTCAAGGCATCATCTCATCCAGTCTCTTGCATCAGCAATAAGATATTATTGTTCCCAAATTACAGGGAAGCTGGCTGATACCCAGAGTGATTAAACACCCAGCAAAAAGTCTCACAGTTGTAGAGACTAGACTAGAACCAGATCAAAGACTTCAGAATTTCCATCAGTATAAGCCTTTTGCCACTGTTCCAAATATGTTGGCAGAGTTAAGGATATATTCCAGAGTCAAAAGTGAATTTGCTCGTCTTATACACACCTGGCCAAAATAGAGAAGCATTTGATTTAAAAGAGTAGCATCTGAGCTTTATGAAAGTGGCTAGAAATTCTATTTGAGATCCGAGGAGCGGCATTAGACAATAAAAAGTAGATAAACTGAGAGTTGCCTGGAAAGGACACTGATTGCTATGAGTGCCACCATTTATCAAAAGTGTATTGGATGAGCTGGAAACATGTGGCTACACAAAAACCTGCACAAGGAAGTTTATAGCAGCTTTATTCATAATTGCCAAAACTTGGAAGCAATCAAGATGCCTATCAATAGGAGAAATAAACTGTGACACAACCATCTAATGAAATATTCAGTGATAAAAAGAAATGCATTATCAAACCATGTAAAGACATGGAGGGAGCTTAGATAAATATTACTAAGTGAAAGAACTCATACTATATGATTCCAACTGTAGGACCATCTGGAAAAGGCAAAACTATAGAGACAGTAAAAAGATTAGTGGTTGTCAGAAGTTTACGGGGAGAAAGCACAAGAGATTTGGGGGGCTCGTGAAGGTATTCTGTATGAACCTGTAATGGTGGATACAGGATATTGTGCATTTGTCAAAACCCAAGGAACTGGACAACACAAAGAATGAACAGGCTATTTCAGTTAATAACAAGGTATTAATATTGGTTCATGAAGTATAACAAGTGCCCCACGATAATGCAAGATGTTAATAATAGGGGAAACGACGTACAGCGAGAGGAAGGTGGCAGAGGGGGTCTATAGGAACTCTGTACTTTCTGTTTAATTTTCCTATAAACCTACAACTGCTCTAAAAACTAACGTCTATTAATTTTTAAAAGGACACGCAGGGGGCTTCCCTGCTGGAGCAGTGGTTGGGAGTCCGACTGCAGGTGCAGGGGACATGGGTTCGAGCCCTGGTCTGGGTGGACACCACGTGCCGTGGAGCAATTGGGGCCCTGCGCCACAACTGCTGGGCCTGAGCTCTGGAGCCCGCGAGCCATGACTGCTGAGCCAGCGCCCCTAGAGGCCAAGCTCCGCAATGGGAGAGGCCACCGCAATGAGAAGCCCGCGCACCGCAGCGAGGAGTGGTCCCCGCTCTCCGCAGCTAGAGATCCCGTGTGAAGCAGCAGAGACCCAGTGCAGCCAAAAATAAATAAATAGAATAAATAAATTCTTTAAAAAGGATGTGCAGTAATTTGCATGCATGCATTATCCAACAAATAAAAATTCTAGCCAATTAAAAAATATTGTACTGGATACTTTCAGTATGTAGGGCCCTGTTCTGGGTGCCAGAGGATGTGTGAAAAAAGGAAGTACGTGAGAGAGTGGTTGGCCCTGTAGAGTGAAAAGGCTCTCCTGGCCCCACCCTTGTTTCCAGTACCTCACTCTGTGGCCTCAGCTTGTCACTTAATTCCTCTATGTCTCAGATTTCTCTCCTGAAAAATAAAGTTGGTCTAGACTCACTCTATGAATCCTTCTACCGTGAAGACTACAGTTCATCATTGTACGCCCTCAAGGGTATTTAACAAAACACGAAGATTCATTAAACTTTGGGGCAAGTCTGATTTCTTTTAGAGTTTTAGTCTCTGGGCACACACATACTTATTTAGGAAGTTAAATTAAAACCCCACTTTTCTAGGTCTTTAAAGAATCTGCTGCCTTAGGTATTTCTGGTAACTTTCAACTGCCCCATGTGGCCTGAAGTAGAAAAAATGGTGAAATTCCAAGGGTTAAATGCACTGAAATCTTTGGGTGGCTCACCTGTTCCTAGTCCCTCCATGCCCGGAATGTCATCTCCAAACCTATGGAAAAAAATACAAGAGAAGTTAGCTGATATCGGAGCCAAAGGATCCTGGAATAAGTCATGTGAAGAGTTTCCTGATTCAAAGAGAAAGAAAAAGAAGTTTAAGTTTTTGTATTTGAGAAATCCCTTCTGTCTGCATTGAGCTGGGGCAAAGGAAATGGCACTCAGGCAGGTTTTAGACAATGTGTCCCAGAGGAGGGATAGCTTCCCCTCTGTAAAAATTTAACTCAAGACAATTGAGAGCCAGAAAAAAAAAAAAAAAAAAGAGATCAGTGGGGCAATTTAGTTAAGCTCCACTTTTTAAAATAGAAATTGGAATGAGAAAGCAATATGAAAGTCATTAAAATGATTAATTTATCCACTTCTTTAGTTTATCCAAAAGTACATATTAAGCATCTACTATGTCCCTGGCATTGTGTTAGGCCCTGGGAGTTAAGGAAAAAAACAAACACACAAATTTTCTCTGAGGGATCTCAGTCTCAGGGAACAGATGACAAGAAATAAATGTGATATAAAATAACACAAGTTACCATCGCTGAATGTACAAAACGCAAACATGGAAGTAATGATAATGTTTGTCTAAGGGAGTCTGCAATGGCTTGCAGAAGAAATTAACATGAGTGTGTGTTGAAAATAAACAAGATTTTGCCAAGAAGAGAAAGAGAAAAACAAAGAACCGAAGAGAGAAGATTTGAAGCCGTAAAAATAAACGGTGTGTTCTAGAAGTGGCCAGTGTTCCTGTGCTCCAGATTAAAGCACAGGTTACATCAGCGAAGGAGAGTGGCCAAGAAAAGTCTGAAAGGTCAAGTCGAAGGTCACTGTGAAGTTTCCATTTTCCGCGTTAATTCTGGCTGTAGATCTGGGAGCTGACAGAGAAAGGATTCCAGGACTGAAAACATGATTCAGCAAAGATTCTGTTTGCTAGGAAAACAGAGGGTGGGGTTGGAAATTTTTATAAGTCTATTTAATATTGTGAGCATTATTTCTTAAAACCAAAGAACTCTTTTTTTTTATAGATCTTTATTGGAATACATCTTTATTGGAGTGTAATTGCTTTACAATACTGTGTTAGTTTCTGTTGTACAACAAAGTGAATCAGACATATGGAGGGAAAAAAACAATAGAAAGTCTAATTTTTAATCTTGGTCTTACCCTTTCACACCTTTCTTAGGAGGCTTGCTCTTGAACTGACGAGTCTGCCTCTGCTTGAACTTGGGGGGTCCTTTGCGTGGGGTGGTGGGACCTTGGTTTGAAGTTGGAGGGGCCACAGTAGAATTGTCACTCATTCTGCTGGTCCCTGGGGGGCTGATGGTTTTCTTTCAGGCTCCTTAGACAGTAAGAGAAAAAAAGAAGACCCTTCAAGGTATGAGAACCATTACTTATTAGACCCTGACGATAAACTGGACGTGGGGAGAAAAGCACCTTGATAAAGAAGCTCAGTATCTTGTGTTGACACCAAAAGGGAGAAGTTATCTTTTAAAGGGATTTTTAAGAGAATGTGGTATAAATCAAGGGAGGCGCTCAGTAGAGTGGGATATAAACTGGCAACTGATAGAGTTCAAAAATCTGGCTGGATTTGTTGCTCCAATAAATCTGCCACTAACTTTCTATGTGAATTTATTATAATGATGTCCTTCTGTTTGATCACCAGCTCTACCATCTATAAAGGGAAAGAAATGAACTAAAGAATGTCTATAGTCTTTGCAGCACTGAAAAATTCTTTAAGCTTTACATATTTTTCCATCCAGCTGTAAAATAACCTGACTCTAAATGTTTATTGACCCATTTTTTATGGCCTTTGTTCTTTATGGTCCTTATTTTATTTACTTCTCATGTGATCCAGAGACTTCTTTCCAGTGTAGTAGTCTGGATAGGGGAAACTCTGAACCTGGTATACCGACACCACGCAAGTGTTCAATACACGCACACACACACACACACACACACACACACACACACACACAAGCACACAGAAGACAGTGTGGGGTGATTAAGTAGTAAGTGTGTGCTTTACCTCCACATCCAGATATAAAGTTTTCTAGCCACATATTCCTCAGAAATTTTCAACATTTTCTCCTATCTAAATCAAGGAGCTATCCAATATAATTTTCCCAGACTTTCATTTTAGCTACAAAAATGTACATAGTCATTCTTCAAGTACAAATAAAAGAACATAACAAATTTTTATTACATGTTACAATAACATGTAATAACAAATAAGCATGATTTATGCTAAGCTAAAGAATACTTTTCTTTCTCCTTCTCTATCACAAAAGTCGACAGCACTTAATCTGGGAAGGAAGATTCCGAAAAACCTCCACAGAACTTCCAAACAGCCTTAATCTCCCACCTGGAGCCAACCTGTCCATAATCTATGGCCTGGGAGCTTGTTTTCATAGAATTCCATATTTCATTCATTATAGATTTATGCTAATATTCTTAACTTCAATTGTTCCCAGCAATGTTTAGCTCATGCTAACCATCTTTTCTCTCTCTCTGCCACACTGCACACCCTTCAAAACTTATAGTGTAACTTTTATCAACTTTTTCTTATTACTCTCAAAATCATGTAAAATTATTAATAAATCCTTGCCTCCAAGGTATTTTTCCCTATTTTCTCTTCCCCAGTTACTATTTTATTTCAATCCTGGCCAGTCCTCAACTCGTTCAATAAAAACACATTGACTACTCTGTGAGCTGGAACCAGGGATGGTGAAGCTGGCCAGGGTCCTGGATCACCTACACATGCAACGGATCTTGTCTTAATCCCCCACTGGAATATGCTCCATGAGGCTGCTTTTTCAGTCTTTGTTCATTTCTGTAGCCTCAGAACCTACAACAGTACCCGGCCCATAGTAGGTACGCCATATACATATTTGTCAGATGAGAGAACTAATACTTTGAAACTTGGGTCCTGAGATTCTGTGACCTTCCTGTGACAGCATCAGCTGATCTTCACCTCATAAAGCCCTCAGTGGCTTTAGAAAATATGTTGCCAGCTCCTCTACTCCCTGAATCCAATTCTTGTGCTGCGGGCCCTCTCCTGCCCTGGTAAACAGGCAAAGTTTGTGCCTCTCCCAAGTGTGGCTGGGACCATGGGAATGGCTTGGCGGGCAGCCGAGAGCAGCATTACTCTCTGACTGTGCCACCAGTAACAGACACATCCCAGCTCCGCCAACGCCACAGAGGAAAATTAGAAAATTTCCCTCAGATCAAGCTTTTGGACTTGCCAATTCTTTCAAAGCAATAAGAAACTACAAACTTTCCTTTCTTTAATCTAGAGAGCCTACTAGGCTTAGGACTGCCACATTTAGCAAATAAAAATACAGGAAGACCAGTTAAATTTGAATTTAAGCTATACAACAAATGACTTTTTTTCTAGTATAGGTATATCCCAAATATTTCACGGTACGTACTTATACTTAGAAACTTGTCTTGTTGTTGTTTATCTGAAATTCAGATTTATCTGGGCATCTTCTATGTTATCCGGCAACCCTAACTGGGATCCTACTATGTTAGATCCAAAGTCTATAATGTGAGGGTCTAAGGTAAACTTAATAAGTCAAATCACCCTTTAGGGGGCAAAACAGTGTAAAGAGTAGATGCTTTAGAATCAAATAGAAATAATCTCAAATTCCTGCTCCACAAAACTGTTTATGTGACCTTGGATAAGTTGCATAACCTCTCTATGTCTCACTCCATCTATAAAATGAATCAAATAATATCTTCTTTTTAGGGTAATGGGGAAAATAAGAGGGAATGATGTAGAGTGTTCGGTGAAAAATACTCAAAAAGGAGTAACCTTTTTATAGTAGACCTTCTGACAGTCAAGGAAGCCCTGCAAACAAATTTATGGTTTCGACATAGGTTCACCTGGACTCCCACACCCCTTCCTCCAGGCCATCTGCTGAAGGGTCCTTGTCTAGCACCAGAGAGGTAATTGCTACCTGCACTTGCTGGGTAATCCTCTGCATCCTTCAAATGCCCCAACTATTAACTTATTCTTGCTCTCAAAATTCTGTCTTAAGAGGACTTCTTTGGATTCCTTTGACAACCCTAACAGCAACCCCAAAGAACTTAAAATTCACCCTTGACTTCTATGTACCCCTGATTACACTTCCCCTTTTCTCTGGTGAGTTTCTTTTGCATGTTTATATAATTCTGAAATTGCAGTTGCAAGTTTCTCTAGGCTTGAACCTAGTTCCTGTCTAATTCCAAGTGTGATGCATTACATAAAAGAATTGTCCTTGGAAAGAGTTACGTAACAGTTGCCTGGCTAATCCGTGAATCCTCATGGCCCTCAGGATTTGCGCTATGAATAATAACTGTTTTTACATTTATTGTGCATTTCGAGTACAATATTTCATTTCTGAGTACCTAGGACAGTCAACCAATCCCTAGGGTGTTTCTGTCATAGATTTACCCTCCAGTTTTCCCTGTAACATCTTTGGGATGAGCAGAACAAATATGACCTTGTCCTGCCTTGGAAATCAGTCCTGTCGGCCACAGGTATCACCCACAGCTGAACTTATCCTGACTGTGCTTTCCTAAGAACTCCAAGCGCATCCCCGGAAGCTGAATAATCCTGAATCTAGTATCAGACTTGATTTTAGCTGCAAGCAGAGGTTTCACATTTTTGCCTCCCAAAGTGCCAAGTAATTCATTCCTTTGCGAGACAGAATGTTTTCCCTGTTTTTAAAACACGGTTAGCCCTTCCCCTTTTGAAAATTACAAGCTCTTCCTCTGCAGAAAGTGGATGCAGCAATGTAAGATTTCACGGCATAGGTTTGAGGGAACTGAGGTTACTGTTGCCTTAGACCCAAGGCAGCAGAGCTCAGCTGTAGGAAGCTACAGATGATGCTCCATAAATTCCAGCTAAGGAAGGGCAGTTTCTGAAGATTCTTGAGTCAGGTTCTCTAATGCTACTATTATCGCCCTAGGCTTTGAGTTCCCTCTTTCTCAGCAAAGATATGGGCGAGGATGGGGCAAATACAGGCGAAGGAGCAATTTCCTCCACGGATGTGGTTGGACCTATAAACATCACCCAGGGTCCCGCTGAGGCAGAGAGAATCTAATAATGTGGAGAGCCAAGGAAGACCCAAACCAAAGCCGTGAAAAAAACAAACAAAAATCCAGCAAGCACCTTGCTTCAGCTAGGAGCAAACAAACATTTTAACCTCGGAGGGAGAAGGCTTAGCACACCTGCCTGCACTGCGGTCATCCCCCCACTGGTTCTGGGATCAGTCCCCTCACCCTCACGCTCCCACATCAGCCTCTTTGTGCCTGGACTTAGTTTTCAAGCACACCCTGGGAGTAAAGAACTGTTTGCTCTGTGGTCACTTAGTGCCCCAGATCCCTCCTTTCCCAGAAAACTGTTTGCTATGGAGCTGCCAAAAGGGAGGGTCCGTTTTTGGGTTGCTTCTAAGTGAATTTAGTAATCAAGGTTTGCAATGACCTTGTAATAATCAAATTTCACTCATTAGCTTGTCATATGGCATTATAAGGAAGTTTGGGTGTATTTCCTCCATGTTTTCTCCCCATTTCCATCCCCAGCCCTGGTTCAGGCCCATGGGTTCAGTGTGTTCTTTTCTTCCATTTCTTTGTTTTAGAGCCAAATCGGACCCCCACGCCCACAAACAAAAGCCCTTTGATTATATCCTGCTTAAACTCGCCAGAAGTTGAGAAATACTCACAGAGCTGAGTGTTTCTCCAATGAGCTGTCCAGTTGCCTTCCTCACAGGAGATGAGTAAAAGACCTGTGCATCCTGATTTATCTCTCTGTAATACCCTCATGCTACCTAAGCACATCATCATAGGCTTAGGAGCATCAGCCCAGGGGCAAAGAAGCTGCAAGAGTGTGGGGTGAGACTGGGACAGGCTTTTCTGTTAATTGGATGTGCTTACAAACTGACTTGGGCCCTCTCCTGCCCATAAATAGGTATTGAATCAACAAACACACACAAAGTGTTGATTTCCAAGGGGAGACTTGCAGATTGTAGTTCAAAATCTTTTTTCCTTCTCCATTGTTACCTTTAGTCCTTACCCCCCATTCTTCCCTTTTCCTGACACACACAAGCCCTTGCATACTGTCTCTCTCTCTCCTCTCTCTCTCTGTCACACACACACACATATACACACACAGATGATCACATAATTCTCACAGTGTCCCCTGCTTCATTGGAGACATTGATCATGTGAGCAGTGCCATTGAGAAATACCAGTATCTCTCCCTAATCGGTGTTATATGCATTTTCTCAGACACATGAAACCACAAATCAGGAATAACCTAAAATTCAGTGATACGTGACAGAGAAAGAGCATAAGTG